TGTTGTCCAGGCTAGTCTCGAACTCTTGGTCTCAAGCGAGGCTCTCACTTCTGTCTCCGAAAGTGCTGGGATGACAGGTGTGAACTGCCGTGCCCGGCCGTTGTTCTCTGTTTCATCTTCTTTTGGGACTCTGTTATCATGTATTTGGTATTACCCGTGGGCTCCTGCGGCTCTTTCCTGTCTTTCAATCTCTTTCAAACTGGGCCATCCCTGTAATATAGCTTTGCATTTGCACTCACTGACTCTTCTTGCATAGTCTCTGCACTGTTATTCAACCCATCCCGTGAATTTCTTCCTTTCACATCTTGTGCTTTCGGCTCTAAGGTTACCCACTTCATTCCTTTGTGTCTTCTGTTTCCCCCTTCAGTCGCAATGTGGCTTTCCCCACGACCTCGCAGAGGGCAGTGTGGCAGTTGCTTTGGATCCTTGCTGACCGTGTTGCTGCCTCGTCTTGGGGCTGACTTCTGCTGTCTTCTCTCCTTGATGGCTGCGGTGTACCAGCCCTTCCATGCCATGAGCTCCAGGATGACATCCCAGACTTTGAGACTCTCAGGTGGCATGGATGCCACACCTGTTGGACTCTGGTGACAGCCATGGACTGTTCTTTTGGTGGGTGACTAACGTGGCCAGGCTGCAGTCGTGACATTGCCACTCCCGGGGTGGACACAGCCTCTCATCTCAGCCAGTGTTGGTCTTTGTCCGAAGCTGTGCAGTCTGTTCTACCCATGCCTGGTTGGGGGTCCCCTGGAGACTTGGCGTCCCCTCCCGTGGCTCTCTTCTTTTTGAACTATCTTCTGACTCTTTTGCCTCCTGTCACCCTGTGCTCCTTACTTTTTTTCCTAGGCCCAGAAGATGATGGAATTTCTTTCTTTTTTTTTTTTTTTTTGAGTTGGAGTCTCACTCTGTCGCCCAGACTGGAGTGCAGTGGCCGTTCCCAGCCACCGCAGCCTCGACCTGCTGGGCTCCAGCGATCCTTCCGCCTCAGCCTTCCCAGTAGCCGGAATTACAGGCATGCGCTACCACGCCCAGCTGATTTTTTGATTTATTGTAGAGATGAGGTCTCGCTACCCAGGCGTGTCTCAAACCCGCGGGATCAGGCAGTCCACTCACCTCAGCCTCCCAAAGGCGCGGGATTACAGGCTGAGCCACCAAGCCCGGCTGATGATGGAATTTCTTTCAGCATTTGGGCCACATCCTGCCACTGCAGCCAGACCTGCGGCTGCCTCAAGGCAACACCACATGCACTCACAGGGACATCCCCTGGCTCTCATCTTTCCCTGTGTGTGCTCTGTCCTCCGAGTCTGCTGACCTCAGTAACTGGCTGACGTCATTCTGGTATACGTACATTTGTCTGGAATTTTTCAGTTGTTGTTGGTGGAAAGACTTGAGAGGCACTCACTGCTCTGTTGGCTTTTGTGAGCTAATTCTTGTACGGGGCAGCCCTGTTGAGTTCTCTGTGAGTCCAGCTGGGCTCAACCACATGTAACAGAGAACCCACTTCTTGGAAAAGGAAGGTCAGAGGCGGCCTGCTGTCCATACTTGGCTCAGTTGGACAGCAACTGAGGAATCTTTGCAGCTGTTAGGAGCAGAGACAAATTTCATGTGGGGCATTTTTTTTTTTTTTTTTTTTGAGTTGGAGTCTCACTCTGTCACCCAGACTGGAGTGCAGTGGCCGCTCC